AAGAAACGGCGGCGCACGCGACACCTCAACGACCGCAAGTTCGTGTTCGAGTGGGATGCATCCGAGGACACCTCCATCGACTACAACCCCCTGTGAGTGCCTGGAGGGTCCCCGGGGCTGGGGGTGGGCTGAGGGGTGCAGGGCAGTCCCTGACACTTCCCCCTGGCTCCAGGTACAAGGAGAGGCACCAGGTGCAGCTGCTGGGCCGCGGCTTCATCGCAGGCATCGACCTGAAGCAGCAGAAACGGGAGCAGTCGCGGTTCTATGGGGACCTGATGGAGAAGAGGCGAACACTGGAGGAGAAGGAGCAGGAGGAGTGAGTGTTTTGGGGGTGCTGGAGGGTGTGTGAGATCCTGACGGGCTCACTTGGGCTGGGGTGCAGAGCTGGAGGTGGCACTGGGCTGCAGCCAGTCCTGTGGGAGAGGGGTAGGAGGATTCCAGAGGCGCAGGGTGAGCCCTGGCCCTTTCCTTGTCCCTTTCCTCATCCCTTTCCTCATCTCTTTCCTTGTCACTTTACTCATCCTCTTGCTCTTATCCCTTTCCTCACCCCTTTTCCTCATCCCTTTCCCATTTCCTCCCCCTTTTTCTTCCCCCCTTTTCCTCCCTCTTTTCCCACCCTTTCCTTACCCTTTTTCTCCCTGTCTTCCTCTCCCCTCTCCCTTTTCCTCTCCCCTCCCCTCTCCCCTTTTCTCTCTCTTTTCCTCTCATTTTCCCTCACCCTTTCCTCCCCCTTTCCCTCCCGCCAGGGCTCGGCTGCGGAAGCTGCGGAAGAAGGAGGCGAAGCAGCGCTGGGACGACAGGCACTGGTCCCAGAAGAAGCTGGACGAGATGACAGACAGAGATTGGCGCATTTTCCGTGAGGATTACAGCATCACCACCAAAGGGGGGAAGATCCCCAACCCCATCCGCTCCTGGAAGGACTCCTCCCTGCCCCCACACATCCTCGAGGTCATCGACAAGTGTGGATACAAGGTGGGCACGGGGAGGGGGCTGAGGTGGGGGGAAATGTGGTCAGGGATGTGGGAGGGGAAGGGGAAGGGGAAGTTCTGCCCCTGACTGTGGCCCCTTGGCAGGAGCCAACCCCGATCCAGCGCCAGGCCATCCCCATCGGGCTGCAGAACAGGGACATCATCGGTGTGGCCGAGACTGGCAGCGGCAAAACGGCAGCATTCCTGATCCCTCTGCTCGTCTGGATCACCACCCTGCCCAAAATCGACCGGTGAGGCCACAGGGCAAGGGGTACTGCCAGGGGGACACTGCCCAGGGCACAGTGACACTGCCCAGGAGAACACTGTGGGGAGGACAGGGTGGGGTGACAGAGTGACACTGTGGAGGGGATGGGGCAACAGGTTGATGCTCTGGAGGGGATGGGGTAGGAGGGCAGGTGACCCTGGAGGGGATGGAATGGGGTGGCAGTGACACTGTGGAAGGGACAGGACAGGATGGCGAAGTGCCACTGGGTGGAATGGGGTGGCAGTGACACTGGAGGGGATGGAATGGGGTGGCAGTGGCACTGTGGAAGAGACAGGGCCGGTAACAAAGTGACACTGGATGGGATGGGGTAGCAGTAACACTGTGGAGGGGATGGAATGGGGTGGCAGTGGCACTGTGGAAGAGACAGGGCCGGTAACAAAGTGACACTGGATGGGATGGGGTAGCAGTAACACTGTGGAGGGGATGGAATGGGGTGGCAGTGGCACTGTGGAAGAGACAGGGCCGGTAACAAAGTGACACTGGATGGGATGGGGTAGCAGTAACACTGTGGAGGGGATGGAATGGGGTGGCAGTGGCACTGTGGAAGAGACAGGGCCGGTAACAAAGTGACACTGGATGGGATGGGGTAGCAGTAACACTGTGGAGGGGATGGAATGGGGTGGCAGTGGCACTGTGGAAGAGACAGGGCCGGTAACAAAGTGACACTGGATGGGATGGGGTAGCAGTAACACTGTGGAGGGGATGGAATGGGGTGGCAGTGGCACTGTGGAAGAGACAGGGCCGGTAACAAAGTGACACTGGATGGGATGGGGTAGCAGTAACACTGTGGAGGGGATGGAATGGGGTGGCAGTGGCACTGTGGAAGAGACAGGGCAGGTAACAAAGTGACACTGGATGGAATGGGGGGACAGTGACACTGGAAGGGACAGGGTAGGGTAACAAAGTGACACTGGATGGGATGGGGTAGCAGTAACACTGTGGAGGGGATGGAATGGGGTGGCAGTGATGCTGAGAAAGGGACAGGACAGGGTAACAAAGTGACACTGGATGGGATGGGGTAGCAGTAACACTGTGGAGGGGATGGAATGGGGTGGCAGTGATGCTGAGAAAGGGACAGGACAGGGTAACAAAGTGACGCTGAATACGGTGGGGTGACAGTGACACTGTGGAAGAGACAGAGCAGAGTGGCAAAGTGCCACTGGAGGGAATGGGGTGGCAGTGACACTGTCCCATGAGGGACAGGACAGGGTGGCAGGATGACACTGCTGAGGGGGTGAGACCTGGGGTGCAGTGACAGGGTGACACTGCAGGAGGGACACCCGGTGGGTGACACAGGGTGCCCTGTCACAATGCAGGATCGAGGAGTCAGACCAGGGCCCCTACGCCATCATCCTGGCCCCAACCCGTGAGCTGGCACAGCAGATCGAGGAGGAAACCATCAAGTTTGGGAAACCTTTGGGCATCCGCACGGTGGCTGTGATCGGAGGCATCTCCCGCGAGGACCAGGGATTCCGTCTGCGCATGGGCTGCGAGGTGAGAGGGGCTGGGGGGACCCTGGGGGG